TGCAAAAGTCTTTAGTGAGTGTGTGAATCGTCTATAAAAAACCAACTATGCTCATTCATTTTATCAGTTTATTACAAATACATTTCTCAACAATATTTTAATTTCATAATTTTACAAGATTTTACTCTTATCACTATGACCACCATATATCTTGGCAGCAGATAGTTAATAATACCATTTAGCTACTCATCTAGGCCATTATGAAGTGAGACTTAGAGAAACGGAACTAGAAGATTGACAATGCTTTTTGTGAAACACCATACTCATCTACAATAGGTGTAACAATAACTCTTTTGTTAAACTTTCCAAATTTGGAACTTTATTGTAATCTTTGGCATCTTCATACTTTGTTGTAATCTTCGTTGTAATCATTAGTTTTCTGCATTTTCGTATTAATAACTTTATGGTTAACAGCTTTTTTTAAGTTTTTTTCATAATACATTTTTTTAAAGTGTTTATGTAACACTATAAAGTGTAAATGTGCGCATACAACCATCAACATTGCATTGTTAAAAACATGATTGAAATAACAGGTGCATGTTTCTTAAATGATAAATGTAATCATTAGTGATTTAAAAGTTTCCTGCGCACAAGTAATAAATTAATTGTAAAAAAAACCCTGTAAAATATGATGCAAAATGTAATTTTTTTATATAATGCAAAATATGATGCAAAATGTAATTTTTTTATGATATAATGCAAAATATGATGCAAAATGTAAATTTTTTTTTACATCTGTTCCACTAATGCAATGTGCAACAACGCAAGATGGCAAAAACAAATTTGTTTTTTAAAGTAATTTAAAGCAATTTAAAAAACTTTCTGATTAAATTGATTAAAATTGATCATTTTATTAATTTATTATTTATATTATATTATATAGATTAATTTATATATAAATAAAAAAAAAGATATTTTCTGTGTTAAAAAGTCCATAAAATAATTTTATTGAATCATTTATCTTTTCCTGCTCAATTATGGCCTATTACAATTAGTACCTATTACAGGCCTTGCGATAAAGCGTCGGGCGATGTGAATTTTATGTTGTCCAAGAGTGATTTTGCGTGTAGCTACGGCTATTTGCGTAGAGCAAAAAAAATTTTGTTTGAGTATATTTAAAAATATTTTCGAGCGGAATTTTAATGAAGTAATTTACGATTATTTTAACATTTAATAAAGTATTTTAAAAACCGCACGCAGTTGATATAAAAGTTTAAATTAAAAAAAGTTAAATATGCTCATTATTTACAAGTAGAAAAAAATTAGATTAAAAGAAAAAGTTTAAATCTTTTTAAGCTAACATTTTAATAAAATTATCCAGCAATAGCAAAGTTGTCAATAAAATTGAACAAAAATACTTTCTTTTAGTTTTAGATTTTTAACTTAAATAATTATTTTACGGGGGTTTGTTAGGTTTTAAAATTATTCCATAGATTTAAAAATATTTATTAACTGTTAGATGTATTTAAAGTATTTAAGAGTAGTTTTGAGGAAACAATTTAAAAATTGGTAAGCGTACATAAAAAAAAAAAAAAGATTAATATTAAAACTTATTCTACTTGATTCAATAAAAAAGTACAGTTATTAAAATTTTTGTAAAAAGTAACTAAAAAAAATTACTTAAATAATAACGATCGCTTTTATGTTAAAAGTTACCGAAACTCAACGAAGCGTGCTCCAGAACAGCTGCTGAAAAATAGAACGTCAATAGTTTTTCAAATAATTTTTAAGAATAATTTTTAAGAATAAATTTTTCGCTGAAATATGTCTTTTATACCTATAAGATTTTTATTCTAACATTTTATTTTATTTTACTAGAAATAAAATTCCTTGTAAACATTAAAAATCTATTCAAAACGTTCGTTTAAGTATTTTATTAATACGAGTGATTGTGCTCATCTACCGCTTTATGAAAATAAATAAAAATAAATGAATAAAAAAATATTATATAAAATCGCTGGTAAAAATATTAGCTATTGCACAGTTTTTAATCATAAAATATTAAAATTTCCAGTTTATTACTCGCTGACTTTTTAAAAAGAAAAATTATTTGAAAAACTTTAAATTACATATTTTAGAAAGAAAAAAAAATCAAATATTAGCATATTTTATAATCTTTTTTAAGTTTTAGTTATAATGTTTTTTATTTGTTTAGTATAGACAAAACGTGTCAAATGTCAAGAAAATAAGTAAATGTTTTTACATTTTAAAAAACAAAACATTCCAAAACATTTTTAAATAATAACATTTCTACATAAACGATTTAAAGTAGTTTTGCGGTAATTAAGTAAATTGGTGCAGTTAATCTTGACATCTTTTTATCTATACACACATACATACAAGTATATGATTCAAACAAAAGGTGTGTAAAATGTACTCATTTCTTCAAATGAGTCTTTCATCCGTGAAAATTACTTTTAAGCTTTTTTGGAGCTTCTACAGATGATTCTTACATTTTTGACAATCAGGTTGTGGAAGTAAGAGATAAGCTGCATGAAATAATTGGAAATAACAAAAAATTATAATCTACCATAGATAAAGGTAAAATTGGTAATTGATGCCAACATCTATACAATCGCAATTTACCTGATGTTTCCGGTAAAGGACTTAAATTTTTTAGTAGAAAATTTCAGGTAACTTGCCTGAACTTTTCAGGCATTTTACTAAAATTGTTCAGGTGGTTTGCTAAAATACCTGAACAGTTCGGGTAATCTGTTTGGATTTAATTCAAATTAAAAAGAAATGATTCAGGTAAAGAAGTTTTCAATTTTTCTACCAGAACCATGCTGGACAGGGTTTACCTGAACTGAACTGTATTTATATATTTCAAGAATTTAGAAAGATAAGGATCTTAGCTGTAAAAGTTACTGTACGAATCAAAAAAATCAAAAAATTAAACTTGACTAAAAAAAGAAATAAAAACTAATAAAAAAAAATAGTAATAATTTATAAAGTCACAAATAAGATATATAAAAAAAGAAAATCAACAGATGGCGCCTTTATTTGAATAAACTAAAAAATAAAAATTCAACTCAAAATAAGCAACAAATCTTTTATAATAATAAAATCATATAAAATTTTCAGATTATCAAATGATATGTTAGTGCTGTATGTATAATGCGGTAGTGGTGTAGTGGTAGAGTGCTCGCCTCATAAGCCAAAAGTTCTGTGTTCAATCCCCACCACATTCCTGGATATATAGAGCTCAACCTGTTTCTCCATACAATGGCCTTGTTCGTCAAGGTTTGTGATTTGGATTTATAGATTTGAGACAGAGTTGTAACCATAACTAAAAGTAGCCTCTACTGTAGTAGTCTTTATGGCCTTGGGAAGATGAATTGAAATTTAAAAAAAGAAAATTGAAGTTAAAAAGCTTTTTGTCTGTAATTTCATTAAAAATTGATTAGAAAAATTATAACAATTATAACACATTTAAAATGTAAGATACAATGGCAGCTTATTGTCATTATTATCTACATATCTAAACAGAATAATACTAAGGGATTGTCCATAAAGTACATACGCATGGAGAGAAAGAGGAGGTCTGCAAATGGCGTTTCTGAGATTAGGGGGCAGTAGGTCAATTATAAAAGTATGGAGACACTAAATTAAAAAAAAATATTATAAAATGTTGGGTTAGTAGGTTAAAAGCGTAGGTACTTTTAGGGAAGTAGAGAATACTCAAAAAAGCTTACAGCAAATTGCAGGGGTGGAGGGAAGGGGTTGTCAAAAAAAACCATATGTACTTTATGGACGACCCCTAAACATAAAAAAAAAAAATCAAAAAAAAAATTTGTAAGATTTAGATAAATACAAGCTAAAAGATTAATTGTAAATTAATTGAAATCTGCAACTTGTGATTAGCTGAAAATAAAAATTGAAATTAAAACATAGTTATTCAATTTTAAACATCTTGAACAAAAAGATTTTCTTAGTTCTATCTAATAGAAATCTATTCTAATAGAAATAAAAATAGAATAATCTACTCTAATAGAAATAAAAAATATATGTAAAAGTTTTATAAAGTAAAATAAACTTTATTAACCTGTATTCCTTTAAATACCACTACTAGACAATAATAATGTACTAAATAATTAATTCATTTAAAACATAATTGAATATCTAGCAAAAATTATATAAAATCATTAAAAAATAAAAAACCACTTATACTTAAAATAAGCTCATTGCCAGCTTCTTTAAATTTAAATGTTAACATATAATTTTAATACATCATCTACAAAATAGAATATGTTTTATGTAACCCTTGAAAATATAAACTTTATTAATTCTTAAAACAAATTAAAAAATTTAAAAAGATTTAAATTTTTTCTTTATCTGTTTAAAAACATGTTGTTTTTTTTAATAAAAAACACAAGTTATTTATAAATAACTGTATATTCTATAATTATATCATTTATAAATAACTGTATATTATTAATGAAATTATATCATTTATGACTATGATAATAGACAGATTTAGAGATACTTAAGAGATTTTATAAAGGTTTAATAAGAAATACAGGTTTGATAACCAATCCACATGCACATCGTCAATGTGTCTTCCATTTTTGGTTTGAGCATCTTAGTTGGCTCATAAAACATTATATAGAGTATAAAACTATTTTTACGGTTTTTGCAATTCTGTAATTGTTGCACATTTGGTTCAAAATGTTTCAAACGGAGGAGTGATAAAATGGCTGTAAACCCCCAAATTTGCTTTTTAATTTGGTATTATTTAACATTAAATTTTTTCTAATTTTAGTATAAGTGCGGTAGTGGTGTAGTGGTAACACTCGCTTCATAAGTGAGAGGTTTCGAGTTCGATCCCCACCACGTCCCTGGTAGTACCGCGCTCAACTTGTTTCTATTCACACTGATATTTACTTACAATATTATATTAACTTTATAAATTTTTATTATTTTTTATTATTTTTAAATGTAAATGTTTTCTTGATTTTATAATATCTTCACTTTTATGATTTATAAATGTAAATATTTAGAACAAGAAACTATTGTGGAATTTTGTCACTTGATAATGTACCAACATTTACAAGTAATTAACTTTTTATATGCTTCACTTATATTTTAAAGGTTTTTATTAAATTTTATAACTGACTGTTTTTTTTAATTTTTTTATCCTCTATTATGAAAATAATTAACAACAACAACAAACAACAACAAACAACAACAAGATATTTATTCTCCTTTTTAAATTAAACAATAGTATTATAATAATAAGTATAATAATAATAAATAAATAAATAAATCAAAATTCTATTGATTGTAGTAAGTAAAAATAATTATTTAATCAAAAAAAAAAATATATATATATATATATATATATATATATACATATATATATATATATATATATATATATATATATATATATATATATATATATATATATATATATATATATATATATATATATATATATATATATATATATATATATATATATATATATATATATATATGAATAATAATAATATAAAATAATATAATGAAGAGTAAATGAATTATAAGTATTTAATAATAAGTATAATAATAATAATAAATAAATAAATCAAAATTCTATTGATTGTAGTAAGTAAAAATAATTATTTAATCAAAAAAAAAAAATATATATATATATATATATATATATATATATATATATATATATATATACACACATATATATATATATATATATATATATATATATATATATATATATATATATATATATATATATATATATATATATATGAATAATAATAATATAAAATAATATAATGAAGAGTAAATGAATTATAAGTATATACACATAGAACATACTTAAACTAAGTAAAAATTTAAATAATTTGATGATAATAATAAAAAATAAACAAACAAGAAGTTAATGATAATAGTTGTAGTAATCATAATTAAAAAAATAAAAGTATATTTTAAATATTAAGTGAAAATGTCAATAAGTTATAACAAAATTGTTCTCAGAGTTTTTTAAAATTGATTTTGTTTAAGATTAAGAAAAGATGTTAAAGGTGTTTAAAGTTGTAGTTTTTTGAACACATTCACTATGCATACAAGAATCTTGTTCCATTTACAAATGCACTGGTAGACAACAGAATGATTACCATACTTATGAGTTTTAAAAGATAGCACACCAAGTTTTCCATTATATATGTTTCTAGTAGAGTATGCATGTATTATTTTTTTTACTTACCCTCTTCTATAAAAGACTTTTTTTACTACTTTCAGTAAAAAAGTCTTTTGTAGAAGAGGGTAAGTTTTTATTAAGAGAGTCAAAAACAAAAAGAAGAAAAGAAATTTTTCGAAGCGCTGGAAAGGTTAGAATTTTTAGTTTTTTGAAAGATTCTGATGTTTCTGACTGTTTCTGAAGGTTGGAATTCTGATGTTTCTGATGTTTCTGAAGGTTGGAAGTTTATGATTCTTATGGATTGACGTTGAGAAGGCATCAATTTTTTGGTATGGTAGTTGCCATTTTGACCCCAAATTTGACAACAGTAACTATGATGCAATAAAAATAATGCTTAGTAAATATTCTTTAGTGTGAAACTATCAACATAATAACGAATTGATGTTAGATCAAATTAGTTTCTTGCGTAGTTTATCTATATGAAAGTTCCACGAATGATTGCAGTCAATCAAAACATCGAGGTATTTGATAACTTTTGTAGGATATAACTGCTTGTTACCGATTTTGATTTGAATTTTAGAAATGTTATTTAGGTTGTGTTTTTTTCTAGAAGATGAAAAAAACATTAGTTTAGTTTTTTTGGCATTATAACATATTAGGTTAGCATTTAACCAGTGAAAAATACCTTTTAGATCTGAATTTATGTTTTAGCATAGAGAATTATATGATTTGTGGATATGCAATAGTTTTGTGTCATCAGCAAATAGATGAATTGACAAGAAGGGAGTAGATTTGCTTATGTCATTAACATAAATTAAGAACAAAAGAGGACCAAGAACAGAACCTTGAAGAACACCGTACACAGATTTATAAGTAGAATTATAATCATTATTACTTACAAATTGCTTCCGATCTGTAAGATAAGATAACCAGTCACTTACAACACCACAAATACCATAGTGCTCTAATTTAGAAATCAAAGTGTTATGATTAATGGCATCAAAAGCTCTTTGTAAACCTAAAAAATACCGCAAAAAAAATGACCAAGAGCATGCCAGGTAGAATGTTTTGAACAAAAACCAAATTGAAATTCATTCAAACAGTTAAAAGAGTTAAGAAAAGAGTACACTCTAGAATGCAGTAGTTTTTCAAGAAGCATACTAATGTTAGATAAAAGAGAAATAGGTCTGTGGTTAGTACATAAAAGTTTAGAGTCGTTTTTAAATATTGGAATAACACAAGATAATTTTAAAACATTCAGAAAAGTTCCATTTATGAATGATATATTAAATAGTTTAGAAAAAATATTTGAAAATTCATAATCGATAAAAATGTTTATGGGAATGCTATTTGGGTCTATTGATTTTCTCGGCTTCAAATTAGATATAAGATGAAACTTCAGGAATATTTGTTGAAGATAGGAGTAGACTATGTAATTTTGGATATTTAAGATATTTTGTATATTTTATGTAAGACGAATAAATATTGGATTTAAGTTATTGTGCGACGTTTGTAAAAATTGTGTTTAACTTTTCAGAGATTTGGTTCAGTTATATATGTTTCATTATCTTGTTAACAGTTGGGAGATGAGTGATTTGAGTTTTTGACATTTATTAAATTAACAATTCCTTTCCAAATTTCATGAAGATTTTTTACATTACAAGTACTTTTTAAAATACATTTTTTTACTGCATTACTGAGCTTAATTAAGGTAATTATCATGTATTTATATTGTTTGAAAGTAGTTTTTAATGTGTTTATGTTCCTAATATCTTTTGATCTTAACATTTTTTTTTTTTTTTTTAAAATTATGTATTTGAATCCAAGGTTTAAATCAACGCTTGCAATTCAAAATCAAGGTTGTTTCAGAAATGTTTGGAAACAAGAGTTAACATTACTGTTCTCTATAAGATGATCTTAATTAATATTTAATAAATCTGAGTTGAAGTTTATTTTATTGAAATTTTTAAAATTTCTGCAGTATAAATTGTGATTGTGTGGTATAAATTGTGATTGTGTGGTATAAATAACTTATTAAAGTTAATACAAAACAAAGTTGAGGTAAGTGATCAGAAACTGAAGTTGTCAAATTTTCTGAAATAGTTTCATTAGTTATTAAATTAGAAAAAATATTGTCAATGATTGTAGCAGAGTGGTTAATTATTGTGGTTGGCAAAGTGATAAAAGGGTGAATATTATAAAAAGAAAGCAAGTTTAAAAAAGCAGACATTGCAGTGTCATTATTTGATTGTATCAGATCAATATTAAATCACCTAGTAAGAAAACCGATTTATTTTCAGCATTTATTTTTTGAAGTAGGATAGACATGATAATTGTAAAACCATTTATATCCATGCAAGAGTGTTTATAAATGCAACCAACAATAATATTAAATTTTTTAGCAAAAATTATTTCAATAAATGTTGATTCTTAACAATATTGTGTATAAATCATTAAATCATCCCTTCCTTTATATTTTAATTTTTTTGATAAGTATAACGATGTACCTCCACAAGAAGATTCAGGTGGTGTGTGCTCAATGTTGTTGTCATCAATAAGAATTGGATGAACTGATGGTGTTCCTTTTTTTAAATGTGTTTTGGTTATACCAATAATGTTTTGGTTATACCAAAACAAAACTCATTAACAATAGTAATACAATTAATTCCTCAAAATGTTTCTGCAAAGATGATATGTTTAGACGAAATAAGTAGAGAGCGATAATTTTGTTAAAGTTTAATGAACAGAATTTACTTATATCATAATATTTGCAAATTATGTTTATTGGCGCATGAATTTCTTCCTCTGAATCTAAAACATAATCATTATATTGAGTAGAAACTTTGTTTAAATGAGATGATCGAAAGAGATTTATTGACAGAGGTAAATCATCAGCTATAAGAATTTTGTCAGAAGAAAATAATAGTTTGAATTCGTTATCTGGTACATCTGTGAATGGAAAAACACTCTTTGTACAACTTACACAATGCCGAAGTGAGTGACTTAATTGTAGTAAATTGTACTCAGTATCAAGCCTGCTGCATTTTGAATTAGTCCAAAACAAACAAATCGTCCTTGCAATATTATCTTGTTCTATCTACAAATGTAATAAATAAAATGTTCTATATAATATATAAAATAAATACAAATAAAGAAATATATAAATATCTGATATAATATATTATATTACATAGAACATTTTATTTATTTTTAATTTTTTTTTTTTTTTTTTGTATTTATTTTATATATTAAATATATAAAATATATGTATGTATATATATATATATATATATATATATATATATATATATATATATATATATATATATATATATATACAGTATCGGACAAAACAATTGCAACCAAATAATGCTAATTTAGTTTCTTTAGTTTTAGTTGTGCAACTCCACAAAATGTTGACCAAGCTGTATTTTGCTATCAATATTTCGTGGCGAATTCTTTGTTGTTGATCACAGCACCGCATCTTCGAGGCATAGATTCAATCAGGTGATCAATGAAACTTTGTGGAATCGCTGCCCAGCCCTTTTGGATTTGTTCAAACAGTTGATCCTTATTACGAACACCTTCACGATTAATTCTGCGGTTGATGATATCCCACAGGTTCTCAATAGGGTTGAGATCCGGAGATTGAGGTGACCAATCTATCACCGATAGGCAGTTTTCTTGAAACCACTGCTTGACTACTTTCGCTGTGTTTTGGATTGTTGTCTTGCTGAAAAACCCATTTTATTGGCATATTCTATTCAGCATGAGGTAACATAACATCTTTCAGGAAATTTTTATACATGAAACGGTCCATTATTCCATCGATTCGATGTATTGAACCTAGACTGTTAGCAGAAAAACACCCCCAGACTATTACATTGCCTCCACCATGCTTCACAGTC